TCTCAATGTTTCTGTGAGGACACCTGCAGACAAAATGGGGTGCTAGTCAGAGCCCAGAGCTGGAACAAACCAAGTCATGATCAGTGCTAATAGCTACAGCCTGCAAGGAAATCTACTAAGCTTGGAGACAAAACACATTCCCTTTCTACAGGATGTAGATCATGGGCCAGAATATCTGTAAGGATTTTCTTGTGTAAGAATAATTTGCATTCATGTACATTTTTTATTGCTGTTGATATTTAAAAGCACAATGTTAACTTGATTTTTAAAAATGTAGTTTATAACCTGTGCAAGAAAACCTTATCAAAGAAAGATAAACACTAACTCTTAAGATCTCAAAAAATTCTGGTCAAAAAGGACTGGAAGAAGTTTAGAATTTAGAAGTTCAGCAATGGAATTTCTTGTATCTGTGGTTTTGTTTACAAGGCAAATAAATTCTTATATTATTGTAAGGAAGAAACAGCTTAATCAAAAGTAGGTGAAAACAAGATTGTTTAGAATCAATAATATGCTATTAAGAACTTGTAAAATTCCGATTTCTTGCTAAAATTAGATATAGAATATTGAGCAACTACAGAATTTATTAGTATAGTGGTGAGAACATTGCATTTATGAAACCAGAAGATACTAAAGGACAATATGTAACATTTTAAATAGCATAAATTGTATTCGAGAAGTGCTATATTAAATGTCTGGCCAGTTATTGACAAAGATATAACCATAACCAGATCTAGATACTAGTGGTTTTTGAGGAAAGAAAAAAAAATAAAACAAGCAGGCTTTAATCTGAAATGGCAGTAATCTTTACCTTGGAATAAAATCTACTTGGATTTAAAGAGCTTTAGAGCTTTTCGTTTTTTCCATGTTAGATGAGGATACTGGGAAAGATATAGGTTTAAGCAGTAACAGCAACCATGCAAGGATAGACACCACTCCTCTGCTACTGTTACTTGGCTTTTGAATTATTCTTCCATGAGTGTGGAAGAAATATCAGCACTTTCTGAAGCTGAACAGTTTGCAATATTTTGACCAGCAGTAAACAAGACACCCCCTCTCCCTCCATTTTCTTCCTATGATTCATCATTGCAAAGACATTCTTCAAAAATGCTTTTCTATATCAGGAATCCTTCTGCATATATATAGAGGTAAGAGTCAGCAAAATCTTGACAATCAGCTAACAGGAATGAAGTCAGAAGAATTTATTGTGTGAAGTTGCTTGAAAAGACACTTGAGGAAAATGCTGGAAATATAGTTCCTATTGTACCAAAAAGATCAGATTTAAATAAGTAGATTTTGAAATCCAACGTGAGAAGAGACTGATTTATTATTCTAATAGATATCTTATGATTAGTCACCAAAATGTATTATCTTTTTAATCAAATCAACTACAAGAGGTTGTAAAGAGCAGGAACTGGAAGCATTATTAAAAAAATTTCCAAGTGTTATCAGTACCTCAGAGACAGGCTTAAGAAAAGGTAAGAATCACCTACCCACACACAAAGGATTTTTTTTTTCATGTATAAAAAGTGCTTAGTACTACTGAGATAGCAATCTCTAATTAAAATTCTACTCAGGTAGAATAATAAAATCCCACCAAATACTAACCTGAAATACTACCCCTCTCGCAAGGACATAAAATATGTGTCTTGATTCACCACATGAGAATATAAAAGAAAAATCATTTCTTGTGAGTATATCTATTGTTTGTTGCAGCATATATTCCTAACTAGCCAATAAATTCTTAACACAAAGAGGATATTTTTTTTTTTATTCTGGAGCAGCCCAGTCTTTTTTTTTTTGTGGCAGCTAATATTCCAATTTAGCCAATAAATTCTTAACACAAAGAGGATTTTTTTTTGTTTTATTCTGGAGCAGCCCAGCCAGAAGGTTTTGATCAAAGCCAGAGCCACATTTTGGAGAGAATGCTTATTCATACTATAGTCTCTCTCAAACCTTTTAACTTCTTGTGTTCCTTCTCCCTCACCCTCCTCTTTGTCCCCAGACTAAAAACCTTTTAAGGACCATACCACCTTCCACCATATTATTTAGTATTAAAATCTTCAGAAATAAATCAAACCACTCGCCAAATCAGTGTGCCTAGAAATTCAAGATGCGTGAATAGTGGTATAATGTCAGTCATTCCAGACAGATCAGTTTGTAGAGCAGAAGGCAAAAGACTACAAATGCTACAGATGCACAGGCATCTAAAAAAAAAGTTTAGACAAGTTGGACAGATGGCTTTGTTTTAATGAGAGAATAGAAATAATAAATTGTTTTAGTCTATAGACCTGCTGAAAGGTGACTTGTACACAAATCCACACACTCAAGGACAAACCTAAACCATGCTTCATCATATTACATGTTAATATAAATTACTCTAAAGACGTGTCTCTTTCTTGCAGCAGCCATTTAACTGACCTTACTGAGAGCTGTAATACCATTTCAGTGACACTACTGATACTTTTAAATAGAGATTTACATCATTCATTTTAATTTACTCCACATCCCTGAAAGGAAGTTAGATTATTTATCTCTAGAAAGAAATATAGTTTAATAATAAACTTGATAGGTATTATAATTAGTTACGAGCAACAGAAATGGAATCTTTCATGCTATGGATATGCAGAAAACATCATCATGCCATTAAAAGTATCACTGTATTGCCAAATGTTTTTGTACACAAGGGTCAGTGGGACCTTAGGGGTTGTAGGTTCTGCCTGCCAGTGACCCTACTTACTCTGGGAAAGTGTGAGGGAAAAAGAAAAGCAGCAGCATAAAAGAATTGTGTAGTACTGTGGCCCCGTTTTGTCCAAGTACTGTTGATCCTGCAGCAGTATCTGCATACAAGAATTCCAGAAGAGTTTGGTGCTACATCGGATAAAGAAAAACACACAGGGGTAGAAACTACTGTGTCAGGGATATATTTTCCACCATGAGCTATTGTGTGACAATGGTACTTACCGTATTTGTGTGGCACAAAGAGATGAAAGTGTTATGATCATCACCAATAACTAATGTGGAGGAAAATGTGGTGATTACGCAGGTGAAAACTGCCCTTATGCACGAGAGTTGATAAACAACTTAGAACTCTGTAAATCTGCTTTAGTACAATGTTCACACAGGAACCATTAATTAATCCAAGTTAAAACTGAAATTCAGGTCTAGTACTTAAACAGGACTACTTCTTATAACTGATTACACTTTGTTATATCTTATACAAAGGCTACAATGCAATCTAACATTTTTGCTCTTCAGCCTATGACCTAATCTTTGAAGAGTCCATAATACTGTAACAGTCTCCTAAACAAGAGATGGTTGGATGGTCACTGAAGAAACAGCAGTGTCAGTTGCAATGTCACTGCTCCCAAGTTTTTGACCCTGGTCCTCTGCAGAAGGTTAATACTTGTCTAGTAAAGTTGGAAAAATAGATCACAGGGACACTCCTCATCTGCTTTAGTGCAAAGGGAGTTGGATAATGTAACCCAGCATAGAAAGCTGCTTAAGCTGATGTTTCTGTACTTAAGCAGAAAGGGACAACTCACAGGATCCCTCTTCCACCAGTATCTGTTCTGGTGTGTGATCCCCACGCTAGTCAGAAGAGGGGCCAGAAAAAGTATTTGCTATTTTATGTTATCATAAAGAACAAAAAAGCGATCAAAGATTCTAGCAATTTACCACCGGTAACGAAGGTATTTGCAGTAATTTGCATTTAAAAATACAAAGTTAGACACTCGGAGTGATATAATTCCCCTTGCTCTGTCTCCATTAACAAATCGGCTAAATTAGAGAGTACTGGTTCCAGCTGTAAAGAACTTCTGCAGACACCTCTGCAGGTGGCCAGGTTAGGATACAAACGCTCCTTACAAGACAGAGGGCTAGAGTCACGGTGTTGTCAATTGCCTACCACTTACAGCATCCCAGAGGGTTCAGGCCACGCTACAGCCCAGACAATAGCCACAGGATTATTATCTCTTAAGCACTCAGGAAATTATTCTGCAACTTAATTAAAATTAAAACCTGGATTTTTAAAAATTAATTGTTAAAATTAATTATTTTACTATTAAAATAATAAACCCTATAATTTCTGTTGTTTAAATATTATTAAATTTTTGTCTATTACTAAAATTGAATACAACCAACACTACAGTCCTACTCCATCTACTTTTCTACACCGACAATGCATTGTTCTATTGCAGGAATGTGGGGGAGCTGGAAGCTTGGGAGACAAGGGTCAAGGACACCAACAGCAGAGTGGGAACACTATCAATACTGAAGAAAAACATGTGGGCTGAATGCTTCTGCTTAAACAATCTGCACTAAATAGATGGCACTGCTGTAATTAAAATGGGCTGCTTCTACATTTGAGCACAATGCATTGCCGTGAGTGGTCCACTTCATATCTCTCAGTTTCATCAAGACTCTGTGCTCAGGTAGATCAAGATTTGAAGACTATTTTTTCAAGCATTAAACCAAGAAACTTATTATAAATACAAAAAAAATCGATTAGATTATGGGCTATAATTTTACTGTAAACAGTGGCCAGGGATTGTAGAATTTTATAAAGTCTTCAGTGCCAATAAATAAATAAATATATATGTGCAAAGCCTGAACTCCCATTCTAAAAATATCTTACTCATTTTCAGACTTGGTAAGTAGAGACAATGAGAGTTTAAAATGTTAGTACTACTAGCTGTCACAATAACTGTACATAAGCTGCTACGAACAATTGCTTTTCTGGAACAAAGCACCCAATCCATAAAGGCGAGGGGACGGCTGTAAGAGTTTGGCGAAGTTCAGCAGACTGCATCTCTAGGCAGCACAGAGCTCAGGAGCAGGCTTGTTAGTAACAACACTAACACACAGGGGTTGTTCTAAATTCTAAACAGTCAGATGAAGACAGCAGTTCAGGGCGGTGACTGGGACAAGGATCATGCTAAACTTTGCTTTCACACCCGGTGAGAAATTTGCAAATACCTAGCAAAATATTAATTGCCACCCACCTTCTGTGGTGACTGGGAGAGAAATCTCCATGCAGGCTGCAGACTGCGCTTTTCTGAAGGGGGGCTTCCCAGGCCCTCGGCGGTTTGCTTTTGAGACATCTGCACTGGAAAGTCGTTTTCCTGAACTGCAGCTCTGGGAGGTTGGACTTGTACAGTGACCATTCACGTGATCTGGAAGGTGAATGCAACAAGGGCTAGGTGAAGTGTGAGCTCCCAAAATTCAGAATGGAGGAGAGATGTACGTTGTGATATTTAAGAGTGGGTTAAATCAAATCTTCTGAGAATAATAACGACTTATTTGTTTTACCAACCCAGCATGTATATGTATGAATAACTCACCATATCTTTAAGGTATACTTTGAAAAAAACCAAGGGCCATACAACTGGTACATGTTCTTACAGATCCCACGGCATTTTGTTGAGCTATGTGCAGAGGCAATTTATCACTATACCCCTGGTAACGCTGTCAGACCCGATGTTGTGTCTCCTAACAGATACCAAACAAATCTGAACGCTGTCTTTCCTTTTTGCTCTCATAAAGAAATGCAACTGTAACTTACTGCGGGATAGAATTTTGAGCTAGACCTCTTCCCTACCTCAAAGCTGCATGAAACAGGCCCCTGACTGCCACTATGTGGGATAATTATAAAACCAGCCATAATATTGCAAAGTATTTTATTCTTTATGTATGACATAGATTTATTTTACTGCTCAGGAAACTGACTGCCGAACAATTGATTTGTTTGCTGCAGATCTAAAGAGATGAGGCTAAGTCCTTGGACCCCTGCTAGAGGCCACATTCGATCAGCACAGCACATGCTGCTGCCTGGTGGGGCTGCTTTAAACTCTGCCTACATTTGTTTGTCCTTCGTCAGTGGCAATGGGCCCTTAAAGCACAACAATCCACTGGTCAGGGTTTAGATCAGAGTTCAGAGTGGGTTGGACCGGACTATAAAATATTCATGTGATATTTTTTTCCCCTCATGTTGGGTAAAGCAACACGGGAAGAATTACTGAACACAATTTTCCCCTCAACACATGAAAGGATACACACCCAAGTAGAACTGACTTACTTTTGGTCAGCAGGTAATTCATACTTACTAATTTAAGTAAACAGCAGGTAATAAGCATAACAAAAATTTAGACTTATGCAAGCACACTGAATATTTCTATTCAAAACTATGGAAGCTCAATACTACAGATAAGGACAAGCTTGCAGTTTCTGCTTTAATTTTAAATGTCAGGTTATTTATATCTGAGTATTATTTATTCTGACGTATTTTGAATGTCAGGTAGAGTTTATCTATTATATACATATTAGATTAGTCCTTAAGACTCTGTATATATGTATCATATTCAGTTAACTCTCTTTGATTTGTATTGTATCCAAGGTAAGGATGAATGTTAGTATACCAAGATAAATTTATTTCTTGGTTACTATGGCATGATAGCTCCACTCTACATGAAGAAAAGGCATTTCTATATTCAGATAATAAACCAGATTCTATTGGGAATACAGCATAGAGCGTGCTATTATATGTAGTCTACCAATGTGTAAGTCACGTCCTTTCCATGTGAAAGCAGTTCCACCTTAATGAACAAAATTGGAAAGAATTGTTCAGAACTTTGGTTTAGAAAGCTATTTAGTATCTGTACTGCATGATGAGGCAGCTCTGTAGGAGACAAAACTTCCATGACTCTTATAATGTTTCTTAATACATGCCTATTTACTGAGCTAACAGCAGATATAAATCTCATATGGATGATTCATTCAACTCATAGTTCAGGAATTTTCCAAAATATGCTGGAACTATTCATGTATTTCAGTAGAAAATCCTCTGAGATCGGGGGCTTTGTTCAAGAGCACAGGCTGACTGTTCAACCCCAGCAACAGACACATCCTCATCCAGCTGCTTCCTTTCTTCAAAATTCAGTTTGTGTGAAGGAGTTTCAGCATGATATCTAATTATCTCCAGGGAGATCCTAGGAAGTGGTGAGGAACATAACAGAGTAAAAAAGAATCATATTCTATAGAAACATCAACAACATTTGTGAGTCCCTTTCCCTGAACATTGTACAGAATGGGCACAATTCATCTGAACCCCTACTCACGATGCCAAATTTGAAGAGAAATGCTGCTATGTTTCTCCTAGTATGCTTGCTTGTCTCAGTTCCCTTCAAAGGCCCAAATGAAACAAAAGCAATCAGTAGGATCTGATGGTTACTAATGCACTACATTTGAGCATCCTGGCTCAGCGGAGCTTATCCTTGAAGCAGTCTCCAGACTATGTAACAGCCATCCCACTCTGCCAGGGCAGCAGCCTTTTCTCCTGTTTGTGGATAGTGAAGTAAATAGCCAGGGCTCAGTTTGTACCTATTCTGTTCATTAATTTAAAAATGTAAGGCTCATGCAAGCTATTGGAAGTAATCGTAGCAGATTACCCCATGCTACAATACATGAGGCCATTTTATACTGATATAACTCCCCTGATTTAATAAAGCTGCTAGTAACATGTTGAATTTAAGATGTATCAAAATATATAAAAGAGAAGTTCATGACATAAAATTCTCTAATGTTCTCCATGTGCTGCTTCTACAGTGCAGATCCTGGTTGTTTGCCTTTTTCTGGGCTCATGGTGTTACCCATACAGATTAAAAATGCTTTAGCTTTCCCCATTACCAAGCAGTAGCACCACCGAGTGCAGTGTGCACCCCAAAAACTGTTTAAAAAAAGAAACAGAAGTGTGCTAGATGGAAGGCCAGCATGTCACACAAAATACCAGTGAGATGATGAGATCAGGAGGAATTAAGAAGTAACAGCAGTTACCATGAACTTGATGAAACTACTGAGAGATGCCTTATGAGAGATGCAATGTGCACCGTAACAGCAGCAAGCCTGCTGGAGAACCTCAAATCAATCTAATTTTTTTGAGGAGTATTACATAGACAAGGAGTGTATTATATGTATACACATGCTGATTTTAGTACATGTTACACAACCAGCCTTGACATAGAACTGTTTTAAAACTATTTGGTGACCTCTGCAAAAAGCAAAACGGACCAACAATTTACCAGTGAAAAGCTGAACCCTTGTTAAAACCAAATGTATTAAAAATGTCAGTAAGAAAGCAACATGCATTTGCAGTTTGTGCATAGAAAGTTGTGTTACATTAGACATAACAAATAAAAAAAAAAAAAGACCAACCATTTTTTCCGGTTCTAAAAAAAAGGATAAATTCACACAGAAAATCTACATGAAAACCAGTTCTTACCAATGATCTAAGAAAGGTTGAGAACAAAGGACCTTAAATACAACTAATTAGAAACATTATAATATCATCCTAAATTGTAAGCAATCAATAAGAGAGCAGGCAAGAAGACCAGAGAGAGATGCTTTAATATGGAGCAGAAGGAACCTGAAAAATGAGTCCCAGAGAATGTCCTCAACAAATGTTGATGAACACAATCTCTGTTGTTAAAGGAAGGAAAAGTTTCCAATGGGGGGATTTTGTGTATTATCAATAAATTATGGGTGTGACTAACCTTTTTTTCTTTACGTAACAACTAGATACACATTTAAATCAAGAAAAAAGAGATCTCGTAACTGTACAGATGGCCCAAAGATCATTCACTAGTGAGTATAGGCTGACATCTTCAACTTTTAACAAATTATTCTTAAAAGACAATCCCTTACAAATCAGGATGACAATCTTCTCTTGGTGCAGTTCTGTCACCGAGGCAGGAGGGGAGGTGTAAGCCCTAGCAGAAGAGGTTAACACAGGGTACTGCCAGCAAAGTGTATATTTATCATCATGTCTTCATCAGGTTGAAGAGGAAGGATGGATTGCCCTGTTGACACACTGCTAAAACATTTAGGTCCACGCTAAGAGTACAACATGCTGCTATTGTTATATACAGCCTGTGTAACATAATGGTATTTTTATTATGGTGATGAATTCCTGTCATGTGCTTGACCCTAGATATCATCATCTTTTTGAAAGAAGGGTGAACAGATTTCTTTTTCAGAGAAATAAAATAATGTGAAGTGGTTGAAAATGTTAAGTGTGTTGTCACTGACATAGCCCCTTTTAAAGCTAGTCTTTTTGCCTGCAATTATGAACAATGAAACCAAAATACAAAGTAAACACTACCCAAATGAAGAACACTAAGAATATATTACTGCATGTCATAACATTGCCTCTACATTATTATACCTGAAAACCAAAACTGGCAATGCATATCTAAAAAATAATGCAGCTTTGATCCCTGAGAACAGTGGGAAAATTTTTAACTCCTTGGATCTAACTCTGCTCCTGAGATTCCTCTGCTGAATTTCTAGTGATCATATAACACCATGCTACTGGACTGACTTTCTCAACAAGCACACAGCGCTCAGTGCGCCTCAACAGAATAACGTAACATGAATAGTTGCTATGCTTTGTGCAATAAACAGAAAAACACAGGCAGAAAACTTCATTTAATTCTGAAACATAAGCATGAAACATGATACATCCTGAGCTGCCCAGAGGACAACACTAGAACATGCGAGTAGAGTGGATGAACTACAAGGCCACCTAGGATATCAACTAGTCCTGAGCACCCCTTCATAGTAGCATTGCACCTGCATTGTCAAGATGGAAAAAATCTGGCTTTAATTCTCTTTTTCTGATAGTGCAAAATTATTCAAAGAGGTTGGACCGGAAACACTTTTTCAACTTGAACATGACAGAAATAAAGCATGACACATATGAGCTGGCCACTTTCTAAACAAAACTCCACTTTGCCATCTGAAACGACTGAACAGAATGTACGATAATTACAACAAAGGTGTTTGTAGTCTATTCTAATCAGATTCTTCCTCTGACATTTCAAAAAATTGTTTTTAACTAGACATAAGAAGGTCTGAAATTATTGAGCTAGCACCACTCCATAGATGCTAACATATAAATAATTTGCTTGCAAATACTCAACAGAAAAAAGGTACAGACATGGTCAAACAAGACATTCAAAGTATAATTAAGTTTGCACGTAATTTTTATGCAGTAATCAAATAATTCTATAAAAATCCAAGTTTTTCCAAAGTTGTTATCATTGTAGATTTTTGACAGAGTTCAAACCAGGTTACTGTAATAAATAAACTAGTAACAATTGTTGATTCTTATTTTAATGTTGTAAAACCATATTTTGTAGTTGATAACTTCTCATCTAGAGGTCTTATTTATCCTTCTTTTGTTTTCGCTTTGTTGTCAAATAATTGTACACAAAAAATAATTACTTTCTAAATATTATTCTGCTTGTACACAGAGGTCAGTTACTATGACTTTGGATGTTGCTTGAAGTCCTAACAAGGTGATAGGACCATTTATCTCCTGCCTGAATCTCTGTCTACAGGCGACAGTCTGCAGAAGATCTCAGTCCCAAACCAATGTACTCACTATAGAGGAACTCTAGGTCCAGACAGGTCTGGTAAGTCTATGTGTAGCCCCAGATTTTGACTGCTGGGGAGTATTACAACCTGAGAAGTGTACAAAGACCATGGAACGGAAGAATACTGCATATGGGTTTGCATTGCTTGAAAGGAATGGAAAATGACTTACCTTTGAGAGCCCTCAGTAAGGAACTCAAGTAAAAATAGAGAACTTAGGAACAGTGAATATCTATTCTACTGTGAGTGTAATAGTTGTGTATCATTTTGTGATTATCAGCTCTTAAATGTACGATGATCTTTACAGCTTGTTTTGTTGTTTCAGCTAACAAATTTCACTGCCTTTACTTTGTGACTACATTTAACTGTATCAGTTATAAACATTTAGTTACGGTATCATTTTGATAATTTTAAGCACTTGCCTTTCCTTTAAACTACTTGCTCGTTAAATCTCCCATATAGATCAATTTTTTTAAATTTTAGTTGATTTTTTTTTAAATCTAGAAGTGTTAGAAGTCAGAACACAGCCCCTTTCTGCATTTGAAATATAACCACACAGCACATGCCTATTATGCTGCAATAGCTGACAGAGTTAACCTGCTGATCAGCTCTTGTTGCTTTTTTAAATTCTGATTATTTTGACTGTCAGAGTAATGATATATCTCTTAAT